CCATATAACCCATTAGCCCACCCTTCTTCAGTTTCAAGGAGTGAAAAGCTTCATGCACTATGAGGATATTATCTTGAACCAACCTACCCGGGACAAAAGCTGACTGGTTTGGGGAAATTAACGAATCGAGCACTTTTTTCAAACGATTGGCCAAGATTTTTGTGATGATCTTAACAATAAAGTTACAAAGGCTGATAGGACGGAACTGTGATAAATTTGTAGGATTAACAACTTTGGGGATCAGAACCAAATTCGTTTGATTGAGCTCTCTGAGCAGATACCCTCCCACAAAAAAACTGCGAACAGCTTTATAAACTTTGGTGCTAACCACATCCCAATAGTTTTGAAAGAAGAAACTAGGGAAACCGTCTGGCCCGGGTGCTTTAACAGCGCCAAGTTGGAAAACAGCAGTTCGAACTTCCTCCTCAGATAACATGGAAATTAACTGACGGTTCATTGATTCAGTTACCAGCGACTGAACCACAGAAAGGGCTTCATTAAAATTTCTATCTCCCACACTTGAAAACAACTGAGAGAAATATTCCAACATATGGCTATTAATTTCAGGGTCGGATTCCACCCAGCAACCATTCTTGTCTTAAAGTTTACGGATTTGATTGCGCTGACGACGTTGGATCATTATGGCATGAAAAAAACTAGAATTTGTATCCCCATTATTTAACCATCTGACCCGTGACCTTTGATGGAGATACATTTCTTCACGAGCTAGTAACTCTTCCAACTGAGATTGAATCTGATTTTGAAGCTCTGAATTATCATCAGACAAAGGTTATGACTGGATATTTGCCAACTCCGTTTTCAGGCGAACAATCTGAATCTTGGTGTTCCCGAAACACTCTTTACTCCAACTCTTTAACCCCTCCCTGCACTCCTGCAGCCGATTAACTAGTTAGAACATTGGCGATCCAACTTGAAACTTTTCCCATCGGGATTTAATCACATCAAGACAACCAGGGCTAGAGGACCACATAGTTTCGAATTTGAAAACCTGTGGAATGTTTTTCAGAGGGACACAACATTTGAGAATTAAAGGACAGTGATCTGACCCAAACAGGGGCTCATAAAACACGTGGGCGCAAGGATAAAGTCCATGCCACTCTACTGTAGCCACTGCTCGATCCAGTCTCTCTCGGATATTGTCAGCACCTCGTTGATTATTAGACCAAGTGAAAGGTGGGCCCTTGAACTCCAGATCCATAAGAGCACAATCAGAGAGCAACTCCATAAAAGCTTGAAGCTGACTCATGCGACACTCTGCTCCTCTAGACTTTTCTTCCATATAGCTGATTTCATTTAGATCCCCTATACAAAGCCAAGGGTAAGAATTTTCATGTGCCATCTGATGAAATTTGATCCAGAAATTTTTTCGAAGTAGTTTTTGGGGTGGAGTGTACACAAAGCAAGTGAAGAAATAACACTATGGATCATGTTCCGCGATGAAAATCGAACATCAAGGTGAATATCATCAGTCCACCATAAGGCTAAACCCCCTGATATTCCAATGGGATCAACATAACATTTGTGAGGAAAGTGAAAACGTCTACGAAGTCTATCCAGATAACCCACTTTATTCTTTGTTTCCATTAAAAACACCACTTTGGGACGATGGGTTGAAATCAACCCCTTGAGGATCTGGACTGTCAGGGGTCGTCCCAAACCCTGACAGTTCCAGCTGAGTATCAACATTGTGGGTGTGGCTGTTCTGGGCCAGCCACCAGAGCACAATTCCCGTCCTCAATCTCATTACTATAAGGATATGTACTAGGCACTTGAGAAAGATACTCTGCAGAACTAGTAGACAAAAGATTACCTGGCATTGCAGCTTCCATGGCCCCATTATGTTCTGAAGAAACCTCTTTCACCTGAATATCGAACAATTTCACTCTACTAGCCCTTCTACCTTTCCCAAACTGATTTTGGAGTCTCATTCCGGGTGGATGATCTAGTTTTCGTAGAGATTGTCTTTGAAGTAGTAAGAGAAGGGATATCCAACACAGCAACAAGAATGTTAGTAAGCTCAAATCCTTTAAGCAATTTAGGTTTTTAAGCAAAAGCCTCCTCCATCTCAAGGGCCTTGCGTTTTAGAGTTAACGTGTTAAAAACAATGGACATACATTCATCTAGCACAATTGTCTTTAAATCAGCCTTTGGGCTAGAGGGTGGGCTCAACTCCACAATACTAATGGGGTGAGCCTAATTGTCCAGAGTGGGAACTGGGGCTAGATCTGATTGGCCTTCAACAGGTTCGATAACAAAATAGGGAGGCCTGGTAGAAACATTTGGCCCAGAGTAGTCAGCCCCAACACTTGCCAGATTATGGCCCTTTGGTTGTGGCCCAACCAGTTGAGACAAAATTGAATCACCCAAATAAGCTGAAGAACTTGTACTTGCCTGGCTACCAGATTGTGCAGGAATATCCATTTTGTTCGTACTATGCCCCAATGGCTCCACGCCCCCTACTCCTTGTACAGCTGCATGTTCCACAGATTGTGCTACCATCCCCAACTTTGTACCAGCCTCAGTAGCGTTTGCCACCTTCTCACCTGTCTCATCCCCACGCGCCACCACAGACTCGGAGCTGGATTGAGATGGCGATGAAAGATTCAAATTTGGCCAGATTCGAGCTGCTAACTCATCCACTTTTCCCCAGTGATGTTCAACCGGTAATCCCGAACTTCGTGCTACACCAGTGCGCAGTCTGGGGCCATACCCAGACACTCGTCCCTCATCTCGAGAAACAAACTTACACACATTCCTCTCATGGCCAATCCTGCCACAGTCAAAACAGAAATCTGAGAGCTTCTCATATTTAAAAGAAATCCAAGAATTTGACCCTGTTACTGGGGGCAAACCACTCCTGTTCAAGAGAAAACCTCGAGGGAGAGGCTTAGTGACATCAATCTCAACCCTGATACGGAGAAAATTGCGATAAAGGAGAAGACCCTCACAGTGAGCTTCAACACGAAGCAGACACCCGAGCTTATTCCCTATGATTTCTCCATTGGCCTTCGTCATCTTCTCTAGTGGTGGACCATAGATTTGAACCCAGAATGGGCACCAGGCGAACTGAATTTATGAAATAGGGAGCCCCGCCTCCAGAGGTTGAAGAATCAACAGATGACCCATAATGGACCAAGAGGCCTCCTGCAAAACCCAGCTTCGATCCTCACTATCATCAAAAGTAAAAAGGAACAGATTATCATTCCAAGGAGAAATGGTGAAAGAGGCTCACGTCTTCCAAGCCCCATGGAGAATGGTAGAAACCGCTTGCTTATTAAGCTGTTTAGTGGTTAGGACTCACTCAATTAGACATTGGTGGGAGACTTTCCCCAACGCACTATCCTCGAGTTCAATAGAATCCAGCTTGGAGACAGAAGTCGACGAACTCGCTATACAAACCAAGGAAAATAGAGAGTATAAAGAAACAAAAGAGGAGAGAGAGCAAAAAAGGGGCAAAAACCAGACCAGAAACAAAATAGGGAAGAAGACCTAGGGGGAAGGAGATGGAAGAAAATGGGAACAAATGTGAGGGGTGTCAATGTAATTTATTTAGTGAGGATAAAATTGGTATTTAAAAAAATTAAATTGCTGAGGGGGGAATCTGTAATGAAACTCTAAACCTCAGGAAGGGAGATGTAATTTCCAAAAGGTGAGGGAGGAAACTATAATAAACGTAAACCTCAGGGGGTATCAGTGTAATTTACCCCAAAAAATTTAATGTACTTTTGCTAGATATAATACTCCAATGCAACACTAAAAAAAATTCATTTGTGTACTTTTTCTAAATGTAATACTCTAATTAATATAATCACAAACATAACATTTCAATCAATGTAATCTCAAACGTAACACTCCAATATAATACACAAAAGCAATGAAAAAATTCTTAATGTACTTTTCTCAAATGTAATACTCATAATTTGAACTTATATATTTGTCCAAAACTTATTAAATTTTTTTTGTACTTCTTTTGAAATGGTTTAAAAAATCTCATATTCTTTTAGAATGGTTTGAAGAATCTCACATCATTTTTTTTTTTTTAGTGTTACATTAGAGCGTTGCGTTTGAAAAAAATATACTAAGAAGTTTTTTTATATGTTACATTGGAGTGTTACACTAAGGAGTTTTTTTAGAATATTATGTTGTGTTACGTTTGCTAAAAATACACTAAGAATTTTTTTGAGTGTTACATCAAAGTGTTATAATTTAAAATTATATATTCATCCAAAACTTATTAAGAAATTTTCATATTCCTTTTAAAATGCTTAAAGAATCTCACACATTTTTAGAATATTTGAACAATTTTATATTTTAAGTTATTTATATACTCTTTTTAAACTGATTGAAAAAATTTTACATTTCAGGTCATTTTAAATTTTAAAAAAAAAATTTGCATATGAAAACTCATCTCAAATTTGATTTTTATAAATTATGTATCTTAACTTTCTAACAAAAATAAAATAAAATAAAATAAATGAATGAAATATAATAGAAATAATGATATAATTATAAATTTAATTTTTAAATAATATATTAAATTTACCTTTTTAAATTAATAGGACTCGTATCTTAAAAAATAATAATAATGAGACTAAGCGTGTGTTTGGGAAGAGAGTTTTTTTGTAGTTTTTTTTAATTGAAGAATATTATTAGAGAAAAAAATTTTGGTATTTGAAAAGATAGTTAAATTTTTTTATGATTTGATGTAATGTTTGTTAAAAAAAAAAAAAAAATGATTAGGAAGGTTTTTTATGATTTTGATGTAAGTTGTAAAAAAAAAAGCACAAATCGAATTAGAAGGTTTGATGTGATATTTTGTTTGAATTTTTTTCTTAAATTTTTCAAAAACTTTGTTTTTTAGTGAAAAAAATATTAAAAAATCCCAAAAATATTGTTGCCAAACACCGCCTAATTTTTTAAAAAAATCCTTGGACTATGTCAATCAGCAGTAGTTTCTTTCTGGCTTCTATATACTAGTACTAGAGGACCAGGTACACCCAAGAGCCCAAACAAGAAAGAAAGAAAGAAAAAAAGAGAGAGAGAGAGAGAGAGATGGCGGATTTGTTCCACAAGCAGGCGAAGCAATACGCGGAGACACGGCCGAATTACCCAGAAGAAGTGTTTCAATTCATCGCGTCTAAGACACCTTCTCACGACCTTGTTTGGGATGTCGGCACTGGTAGCGGCCAAGCAGCCAAATCTGTATCACTCTCTCTCTCTCTCTCTCTCCCCCTCCTTATTTCCACTCGATCCACCGACCTACTAGCAAGTTTCCTTATCGGATAATCATAATTTTATCACTTATTTTTTTTATAGATATAATTTTAAAAATAAATCGTTCGTTTTTAAAAGGTAAATTACTTTAATAACCCTTATATTTTGGTTTGTATGTTGTTATAATTTTAATTGGTTCGATTTTAATAATTTATAGGGGTTGTTTGGTTTTTAAGTTGAGTTAAAAAATTACAAAAGGACAAAAAGGAAAAATCACCATTTCAAAGCCATAAAGCTAATTAAGAATACCGAATGAATAAAAAAATTTCAAGTTGAAAAAATTAAAAAGTCAACTAAAAAAGTTTTTGTCAAACGATGGCTAAATTTTCTCAATTTAATTCAATCGCTTATAATTGTATGTAATTTTTAATGAAAAATTTGCACACAAGTAACCTAGGTTATGCTTTTAGATAAAAAAATAATAATAATAAAATAAAAATTTATTAATTTGTTCAATTTAATAAGTTAATCACAACTAATTCATATATATTTTTTTTAATCAAAAATACTAACGGCATCATCAATTAGATTAAATTAATATAAAATTTAAAATTAAGGTTAAAATTAAATCAATTAAGAATGTAAAAGCTAAAATAAGGCAAAATGTTGGATTAGCAGTGTAATTTGTCCTTTTTTAAATCATTCTGTTTCTTTTGTTGGTAACTAGAGGAGATACTGATCATGCAATATAATTATCGGGTTAATGTGATATATATTTTATAAATAATTTATATGTTAGAATTTTAAAAATAAATGAATTATATTATTGAATTGAGAAGAGCAGAATTCATTGCTAAAACTTACCCCAAAAAAAGTGATTGTTCATAGTAGCACAAGCTTTTGAAGCAACACCTAATCACATTATTTTATTTTCTCATCCTGAAATACAAACTAATGAGTTCTGCATTAATAAATACATATATAAGATTTATTCATTTGTATCTAAAGGTAAGTAAATACAATAATAAAATGGAATTATAGTTAGCATTGATCTTAATTGTTTAGTAATATTGTACTAACAAAAATTAATCACTTGCAGTTGTCTGAGATCTACAAGAATGTGGTAGGCACAGATACCAGCCAAAAGCAACTTGATTTTGCACCAAAACTCCCCAATGTGAAATACCAATGTACCCCTCCCAACCTGTCCATGGCCGAGCTCGAATCCACTGTTGCAGCCCAATCAAGTGTTGATTTAGTCACCATAGCTCAAGCCCTCCATTGGTTCGACCTTCCTACCTTCTACCAACAAGTCAAATGGGTACTCAAAAAACCCAATGGTGTGATTGCTCCATGGTGCTACACTATTCCAGAATTCGACGGCAGCTTCGATGCTGTCTTTCGACAGTTTTACTCTGATTCGAAACCTTATTGGGAGTCGGTGCGCAAATTGGTGGACGACAAGTACAGGGGCATTGAATTCCCATTTGAGCCAGTGGAAGGAGCTGATCACACGGGACCGTTTGAGTTCAAGACCGAGAGGTTGATGGATTTAGACAGCGTTTTTACTTACATAAAGTCGTGGTCAGCATATCAGACTGCGAAAGAGAAGGGTGTGGAGCTGTTGAGCAACGATGTGGTTGAGAACTTCAAGCGTGCTTGGGGTGAAGATGGTGATGACCAGAAGGTTGCGAAGTTTCCGGTTCACTTGAGGATTGGAAAAGTTGGAAATTTAGGTTAGAAGGCTAACCAATTTGGATACTAGCAGGAGATTCTCTGTATCAAAATCACTGCCCCTAGTTCCCTATACAATAATTGTGGTTTGTGATTATCACTATATCTTAAAGCTTGGAGTGCGTTGAGAACAGAGCACCAAGATTTAGAACAGAGGATCCCTAGTGTTGAAATTGAATAATTCACATTAAGGGCAGACTAGGTGTCCATTTTGTTTGTCACAGCATTTGGAGTGAAATTGTAGTAGCACAAGTACAACATCAAGTTAAGAATTCATGAATAACAAGGCAATATTAGAAATTGAAAGGTCCTCTGTTCTGTCCCATTGGCATTCATCCAAAGGATTAGCTCATATGTGCAAGATTGGCATTTGAACTTAGATCTCAATAGAACAAGGCAAAAGAGGCTGCTTCTTCTCAATGGCTATTGTTCTTGTTTTCATCCATCTTCACACATTTAATAATCACCAACCTGCTCCTCTTTGATTTTAGCAATGATATTAACATTTGACACAGTTGAATGGTTGATTAATTTGTTTTGAAATCATATTTAGGACTAATAATAGTACTTGTGGCCCTAGTTTTATGTGAAATTTTGTTGTTCAAGTACTATGTTATTGAACTACTCTATATGGCAAAACATTATGAGTGGCACATGCAAATCATGTGCATTTAAACTAGTTTTATTCTAAATGTCACGGTGCATAAAGCCTTGAGGAACATCAATCTTATTCTTATTCAAAACAGGGCGTGCCGATCACAAAATCTATTTTGAAGAAATTTTGGACTGCTTGTGTAGTTAATTTGAAGGTCCAAATGCATCCAAGCTAATGACATTATATGGTATCCCAAACTGGACATCATACCATATCAGTTCCACTAATGACACAAGTCTCTTCGTAACTAACATTGGATGATATGTACTCTACCTTCAAATTCCAAGTAAAGCACGAGGGATTTATTCAATATGCACGTAATGTGGGCACATTGTTCAATAATGATAAACACGAGTAAGTGAATTTGTAAAAAAGAACAGGTGATTTTCATCAAATTTATCAAATCCTGAATAAAAGAAAACGAGAACCAAATTTCCATCAAATGAATAAAAGTTTGATATGGCTAGCATTTCTGTTAGGAAACGACCACTGCATTTATGGAAATCACCACTCCCATTGATAAAAAGAAAGCAGTTCTATGATGCACCGTCACAAGTTCTAAATAGTGGAGGAGCATATACAAACAATATTTTAGAGCAAAAATATTGGTGTCTCACTCTGTAGTGGAAAGAGCTGACTGCAATACATCTTCAAGGTACTTCTCAGCAGCAGCATACTGCCTTTTCTTGTCCTCAATTGCTAATGCCGCCAAAGCTTTATCCTGCACAAATAGGAGTTTCCGTAAATCATTATTTCATTGGAAAAAAGAAAAAGAAACTCAAATGTATCAAGGCTAGAGTCAATTGAAATATGGAGTTACGGGTGGCAAGTCTTGGTAGCTTCTCAAAGTATCAAGGATGGGCTTTGTTTTCTTCTCCAATTCCTTCCTGTGCTCTGCCATTTCAACTAGCACGCCATGGCTAATCTCTGGGGTGTAGCCCACTCGATTGAGTATTGCCTGCTCCCAAGGAATCTTTCGTATAAGTAATCAACAAAATAATTTAGATAAATCTAAATGAAGATCAATTATAATTACCAAAAACGAAGCTAAAATATCAACCACTCGATCACAAGTCTGATATCTCATTCTACAAGTTGGTGTCAGCAACAAAACTCCAAGATAGTTAACCATTCTTGCTAATATAGTAACATGTAGGTCGAAGACAAGACCCAAGATTCTGACCATTGTAGCTATAGAAGCATGAAATTTGATTACTCCAATTCTAGAATCTACCATATCATTCAAATTGTAAGAGCATCTTTCCTATAAATAGGATCTTTCTTCATAATGTGTCACCATTTATCTTCAACCCGATTTTATCCTCTAAAATTGAAACTTTGCATAGTCACGGAGTTCTAGGTGCACAAAACGGTACATGACGGAAAATTTGTCTACAGTGGTACTTGAGATTTGAAGGACCAAACCAATAAATCTTTCAAACATGTAATAAGAACACGGACCAAAATCGAAAATACATTTTATCAATTCTTATATGAAAGAAGCTACCTAACCCTAATCTTGAACAACATCTGAAAACCGTAAAAAAAATAAAATTAAATTTACAGGTGCATACAGACAAACGAGGCATGGAACAACTTAGAAGCAAAAAAGGACAAGCAACTCATCCCATCTCAAAACCATGCATCATTTCAATGAGATTGGAAAGAGGATAACATAAAATGTGCTGAGAATGTGTAGTCAGGGCCTTTTGTTGTCCAAGTACATGTAAAATTGCATTCCCTTTCAAGCACAGTTATCAAAATTTCAATCCGGATCTTACGATCCATTTGAGCACAATCGATGTGGATCGTATAAAAAATCTCTTACTGGTATGATCTTTTGATCTTGGTAATTGGATCTTATAGGATCGCCGAATCCCAATCCGTATCTGATCCAATTTGTAAGCCTTGTTTTGTATTGTATAGCCTAGTTTATTGTAAATTTTATGTCTGTTGTCTAAATACCAATTTATGTGGTACAAGATGAATTAAAAAACAAGTAATATTGAATAAGAAAAACAAACTATGAAAACAAACATTTAAATATTGCAATTATTTAAAAAAATTAACTAGTCAAAAAAACAAACTTAAATTTAGTAGAGTCTGAAAAGGGCAAGATGTATGCAATTTTATCACAATTTTTTGACGCTATTTTCGTGATTCGAACCTACTCCATCAGGGGCACCATATCAGCTTGCTTGTTTTTGGTTTTTCAAAAACACTTTTCAGAAAATTCTACTTTCTTGTGTTCCATTTTTTTACTGAATTTTTTTAATATTTTAAGCAATTTTTTTAATTTTTAGACACACCTAACATAAATACACATAAAAAATATAATTTTTGTGAAAAAAATCTTTTAAAAATTCACTAAATACCAAAAATACAAAAAAAAATATGAGAATTCCGTATATTTTTCGTATTTTTATGTATTTATTAATTTTTTAAAATATTTTTTCACAAATTTTTTACTTTTTAGATACATCTAAATAAGGTGCATCTAAAAAAGTAAAAAAAAATGCTTAAAATTTTAAAAATATTCACTAAAAACAAAAAAATATGAAAAACAAAAAATTCAATTTTCAAAAAACTTAATCCAAAAAACCCAAACCAAACACACACATTATCGTTCAACCAAGCCACTCTTTTGAGTTCTCAATATATTTTTATATCCAACCTTGTTAAATATTTTTCTTTCAATTTTTATGCATTATTGTAGATTGTAAAGTGTTTTGTTATAAAACTCTTTCTTTTTACCTTATTTTTTTTATGAAATGCAAAACTTTTACCATCAAGTTTTCTATAGTAAAATTTTTTTTTAATGACCGGGTGTCTAGGCCAGCTTACACGTACCTCCATTAATCCGAGATCCACACAAAGCGCCTCTCCACATGGACGGGTGGCAAGTCTTGGTAGCTTCTCAAAGTATCAAGGATGGGCTTTGTTTTCTTCTCCAATTCCTTCCTGTGCTCTGCCATTTCAACTAGCACGCCATGGCTAATCTCTAGGGTGTAGCCAACCCTTTGGAGTTTTTCTATAATATAATTTTATATTTATATTTTACACGAAGTATTATATTTTTTACAAGATCTTCGTATCTTTTTAGTATAATTTAGGCTTAGTATGTATATAGTTTTTAAGAAATGTTTATGTAAATTTATTACGTTATGTCTTTTTTTAGTAGGATCTTACAGTCCTCAATTTGATTCTATAAACTCCTCCAATGATCCAATGTAGGATCCCTATTTTAACAACTTTGCTTTCAGCAATGATAGATAAATTTTAGAGCTCAAATTACAGCTCTAATGATGTGGCCAAAAAAACAACACACACACACACACACACAAATAGGTGGGACCCACCTGTTTAGAGCTCTCCTAGAGCTCAACGATTAGAGCTCCAAATCATTTTTCCTTTGCTTTTAAGCCTATCAATAAAGATAAAGGCCACGTGAACTATTTGAATTTGTAAAATGCTATTATGCAAGGAAGTGCCAGGCAATCTTTTAAGTCAATATACCTCCTACTTAACTCGAAAAAATTTACGAAAAAGAAAAAGAACATAACAGACTTTTATTATGTTTCTTACAGAAGCAAAAGTGTCCCAAAGCTCTAAATTATCATTACAGTGGGACTTTAGCTTACATTTCTCAAAGTAACATAGCATGATAACTTGTCCCTTTGCATGACAACAGCACAAATTCCATCAAAAATTAAGTTGTTCATGCAAAGGCAAGAGCTGTACAAAATTCATTTCAAGTTTTTGAGGGCAGTGATTAAAAAAAAAGAGTCAATTAACATGATTAAAAAAAGGCACACACACTAATAAACATACATAAACAGTATTGCATAATGACATTGGCATCATCCTTGTACAGCTTGCAAGATTAGTTTGTTTAAGATTAAAATTATAGACACATCATGAGACAACTAGCCTTCAAAATTGTGTTCTCTCTTTTTCTGGCATATAAAAACAGATTAATAATGCTTAGTTGATACATCCACTATCCATACAAATAATAAGAGGCCTAAGAAAGGAAATTTAAAGACGAGAGAAAATTGGGCAATTGGTTCAAATTCAATTCTTAAGTGGAAGTCAAGAGAAAGCTTGATAGATTTCAATATTATGTTATTTTAAAATCTTCAATCATTTTTGGTACATTAGGTTTGATATGTCACCATAATTCTTCTTACTAGTGATACTTCATAGTTCTAGTTTACTCATCCCTTCATCTTCTTCTTAGGTACATTTCTTGTTCACCATATTTTTTGGAAACTATTCACTTTGCTTGGTTTGGGTTTTCTAAAAACACTTATAAGAAAATTTTATTTTCTTATTTTCCATTTTTTTTTTTTGTTTTTACTAATTTTTTCTAATATTTTAAGTAATTTTTTTAATTTTTAGATACACCTAATATAAATACACTTAAAAAGTATAATTTTCGTGAAAAACATCTTTAAAAAATTCACTAAATACCAAAAATAAAAATAAAAAAACAAAAACAAAAATTCAGTATATTTTTCGTATTTTTGTGTATTTATTAATTTTTTGAATATTTTTTTACAAATATTTTACTTTTTAGATACATCTAAGTAAGGTGCATCTAAAAAAAGTAAAAAAAAAAATGCTTAAAATTTTAAAAATATTTACTAAAAGCAAAAAAAAAAACACAAAAAACAAAAAATTCAGTTTTCATAAAACTGAATTCAGAAACTTGAAACCAAACACATTGATTGATTCCACCTTCTGTTATTTCTATACATAGGGGGGTATTCTACTACTTTTACTAAAGCAAGAATGAAATTGAAGAATGTTCTAGCCTTGATGGGTTTGAAAAATAGATTTTTGTGATCTAGCTCAAGTAACTCATCCCATCTCAAAACCATGCTTCATTTCAATGAGACTGGAAAGAGGATAACATAAAATGTGCTGAGAATGTATAGTCAGGGCCTTATGTTGTCCAAGTACACATAAAATTGCATTCCCTTTCAAGCACGTCAATCCGGATCTTACGATCCATTTGGGCACAATCCATCCGGATCGTGTAAAAAATCTCTTATTGGTATGATCTTTCGATCTTGGTAATTGGATTTTATAGAATCGCTGAATCCCAATCCGTATCTGATCCAATTTGTAAGCCTTGTTTTGTATTGTATGGCCAAGTTTATTGTAAATTTTATGTTTGTTGTCTAAATACCATTTTATGTGGTACAAATGAATTAAAAAACAAGTAACATTGAATAAGAAAAACAAACTATGAAAACAAACATTTAAATATTGCGATTATTTAAGAAAATTACCTAGTCAGAAAAACAAACTTAAATTTGGTAGAGTTTGAAAAGGGCAAGATGTATGCAATTTTATCACAATTTTTTGACACTATTTTTGTGATTCGAACCTACTCCATCAGGGGAACTATTTAGCTTGCTTGTTTTTGGTTTTCTAAAAACACTTTTCAGAAAATTCTACTTTTCTGTTTTCTATTTTTTTTGTTTTTACTAATTTTTTTTAATATTTTAAGTAATTTTTAAAATTTTTAGACATAGCTAACATAAATACACATAAAAAGTATAATTTTTGTGAAAAAAATCTTTTAAAAATTCACTAAATACCAAAAATACAAAAAATAAAAATAAAAATACAAGAATTCAATATATTTTTTGTATTTTTATGTATTTATTTATTTTTAAAATATTTTTTTACAAATTTTTTACTTTTTAGATACATCTAAGTAAGGTGCATCTAAAAAAGTAAAAAAAAACGCTTAAAAATTTAAAAATATTCACTAAAAATAAAAAACATGAAAAACAAAAAACTCAGTTTTTAAAAAACTTAATCCAAAAAACTCAAACCAAACACCCACATTATCGTTCAACCAAGCCACTCTTTTGAGTTCTCAATATATTTTTATATCCAACCTTGTTAAATATTTTTCTTTCAATTTTTATGCATTATTGTAGA